AGACCTGTTGAATACATCAACCAAACACTCCAAAAGATGAAAAAAGAAATCACAGCCTCAAAAATTACAGTAGGTGACTTCAATACACCGCTGTCTGAGAAAGATAGATCACAGGGAAATAAACTCAACAAGGAGGCTGGAGATCTAAACATTAGATAATTTGACGTGATAGATATTTACAGAGCTTTTCATTCAAATATAAAAAAATTGACATTCTTTTTGAGCCCACATGGCACATATTCAAAGATAGACCACATACCGGGGCATAAGGTGAATCTGCACAAATTTAAGCACACTGATATCATACAGCTCTCTCTCTTTGACCACTGTGCCATAAGGTTGGAAATCAACAAAAGGAAGATGAAGAAAACAATCTCATTGAAAAAGGGGACCAGACAAGGATGCCCCTTGTCCCCACTCTTATTTAACATCATATTGGAGATTTTAGCTAACAGCATAAGAGAAGGAAGAGGTGAAACTATCGTTATTTCCAGATATGATTTTATATATAGAAAATCCCAAAAGCTCTACAAGGGGAGTACTGGAAGCAATAGAGGAATATGGCAGAGTGGCAGGATACAAGATCAACAAACAGAAGTCTATCGGACTGCTATACACATCGGATAAGACCACAGAATAGGAGATCAAAAAGGTGGTACCCTTTACAATAGCCAAGTACAAATTGAAATATCTAGGGATATACTGACTAAAAGAACAAAAGATTTATATGAAAAATACTACAGAACATTATTACAAGAAACCAAGAGTGACCTCAACAAATGGAAAAAATATCTCATGCTCATAGACTGGAAAACTCAATATAGTAAAGATGTCAGTTCTGCCCAAGGCACTATATAAGTTTAATGCAATCCTGATAGAATTACCCTCATCTTTCTTCAAAGAAATGGAAAAATTGAGGGAAAAATCCCCGACTTAGCAGAGAACTTCTCAAGAAGAAGGACACAGTGGGAGGGCTTGCTTTAGCTGACTATAGTACATATTATAAAGCCACAGTGGTCAAAACCTCATGGTATTGGTATGACAGATACTCAGACAAATGAAAAAGAACTGAAAACGTAGAAATAAAA